AATTACATTTTTATTGGGCTAAACAGATAGACCAACATCTGGGGTTACAGCCAGGCTTCACAATTGTCTGACAGGCTATTGGGAGGCTTTTTACACACATATTAAAAAGCACAAATTCTGCTTGTTCTTTTCAAAAATGAGCTATAGTCAATCTGCACAGCTGCCTCAAAATATAATCTTTGATGGACCAGCCACACAGATATTTCCATGTTTATCTAAATAGATCAATACAGAGATAAAGACATGATTGAGATGATCATTTGTAAGTTAAAAAAATTCAGTAAACTGGATTGTTTTGCTCCTGTTAGCTATAATGACTCTGCTGACTGGTTAGCCAAGTCAAAATAAACCATATACAGAGGAATATTCATATACAGAGGAAAACTGATTTTTCCCAAGTAGTTAAAAAATCACACACACTAAGGAATGCTATATGGATGCAACACTTCATCCAAATACTCATTTTCAGTTTTACAATCCAGGCTATGAAGTTGGAATGATCCGGAATATAGTAGTCCTTTCAAGGCTAATTTGATAAAAGTATTTCATACTTCATACTACTTCATATATGGAATTGCAGCTTTAAAAAGTACAATTTATTGATATTAGAGAAAATATGAACTACTGTTTCCAGATTTGGGGAGTATGAACAGGAAAGACCACAATGCGTTCTTGTTAATTTGCATGCCTATTGATATGGCTTTTCTTATACTAACCCCTGAAAGAAATGCTATAGAAGAATGGTCACATTTGAGTATTAAAAATCAAAACCAGAAAAATAAGTCTTGACTTAAATACCATCCTATACACTAGAAAATGGAACAAATAAACACTTGTGTGGCATAGTTATCAGACTGCAACATTCTGTAGCACACTGCTGTAAATAGCAGAGAGCAAAGTGAGTCTCATCTGAGTGGCTGAAGTGTAACATATTTCTCAATCCTCAAAAAGCAGGGGAGGATAGCTTCCTTGGAAAGTAAAGCTTTAAAGGTGGAGCCATAGAACCAGGAAATTATCTCTACATTAATTCTAAAATCTTATTTTAGACAATTAATATACCTTCACTTTTATTAGAAAAGAATCAACACTAGCTGAATTTTTTTTAAAGAATTGGTTCTAAAGGATAATATGCAAAGGTTTTCATCACCTCATTTCACACCCAGAAATAGATTTCTACTGAAACTACAAAAAAGGCTGTTAACAGAAAAATAATTAGCTGAGACCCTGAATCCAACAATTTGCAGATCTCTCTTTCTCTCACAGTCACATAAACACATATGTGCATAGACAGAATATTAAGAATCAGTGAGAAATCCAGCTTGCAGCTTAGCACCATTTTCTGCTATAAAAAACTGAAAAACCTTCCTGTAACCTAGCAACTATGGCATATCAAGCAAGATGAAATCCTTCTTCCTGTTACATAAAGTAAAGCCTGGTTCACATCACCATTTGTATCTAACAACTGGCATTTTATTTCTACTGCTATAAAAAAGTAAAGCCATTCTTCATAACAATCATAAAGCTGGCATCTTATTTCCCATTTACCATACCCTACAATAAAGGAGAAAAGAAATATCATACTTAAAAACTGGTCAGTTCATCTAACCAAAGAGCAAAAAATGATTTAAAGTATTATATTTAACATACGAAGGTCAATAATGTCATTTACATGAAACAAATATGAGAATTACAAAGATCAAGCTTTTCCACTTTCAAATGCTATTTATCAGAAAGTTTTTCATTACTATATAACCCATTTTTTTTGGGGGGGGGGGGGAATTCAACAGTCAAAATTTAAAATCCCTAAATGAGAACAAAGATTTTAGTAGCATGATTTTAAAGGCCAATGAAAGCTCTTTCCTTTAATGAAATTAAGATTATTGTTGTTAGCAATCCTAGCTAGCATGGGCAATACTGTACTGAAGCATGTTTTCCCTACTCCTGTTTTTGACATAGCATGATTTAGCCGAAGAAAATCCAGGTGGGATGCAACAAAATCTAAAGAAATGCACTAAAAGCTACATTTAAAACACTAATTCATCAAAGTTCCCATTCAAATAACCTAGAGAGCAGGCAGTCACTGAAGCTGTTTTCTTTAAAATGCTATTCCTTGGATCTAGCTGTTCTATTAGGCATTTCAGCATTTAAAAGAATGAGAAGGCCCAAATACTGACTAGCACTTTGGAAGTCCCCTTCGACTTTTGTTCAAGGAGAGCTTTTGCACAACATTACTGCATTGTGTGACAATTGTGAACTTTTCTGCAATGGGAGGCATTACTCACTGCCACTCATTCCTTAGTCATCTCTTGATGAAATTACTGTTATGACCTATAACCTTGAAGAGCATTCAGAGAAATTACAACTGGTCCCTAACTCATGCTTATGTAATTATGGGTGTGCCTTGTGACACATGTCACCTTGTCACCTTCAAGACATATAGTTTATACAGTTGGGTATCTGCTGAATGGCTTTCACCAAATAACACTTGCCTGCTCAATAAGATGTAATCGAGTTGGCTGTTTATGTGTCCCTTGACACATCATCATCAAGTGTCAGAGAAGCATACTTTTTTCAGTCACTGCCTCTTTCTATGGAACAGCATTCTACCTTCCATGAGATCTGAACATCTCCCTTTCTGCTCTTCAGAAAATTTGTGAAAACATGACTGTTCCACTCAATTATGGAATTTGATTTGCTATAAATAACTCTCCGGGTGTTAGTCTTCTCCCAGTTTTATGTTGTCACCAGTTATGTCTTCCAGTATTACGTTATTACCAGTGTTATAATGTGTAATTTGTTTTTAAATTTGACTTTGTTTTTAATCCCAAATACATATTAGGACTTGAATGCCACATATAGTGAGCTGACTAGAGCTAAGCCATGAAAATAACAAATATTGCCTTTCTATTCAGTTGAATCTATTTTTGCAGAAGGTGGGAACTATTTTTCCTTATTATTACTACATAATTCATTTATTACGCACTTATCACATATAAATCAACTACCGCATTTTTCGGACTATAAGATGCTCCAGATTATAAAATGCACATTAGTTCAGGGGTGGGATCTGGCTGGCTTTACTGCTGGTTCGCTTGTGTGCACGCTTTGCACGCTTGTGCAACGCTGCACGTGCATGCACACTTCAATTAAAATTGTTCTGCGCATGCACAGAACTCAGAAACAAGATGACAAAGGCGACGGGCAGGGAACCAGTTCGGTGGCGTGGCAGGCCTGGGTTGCTGCTGTTTTCAGTGACCCAGGCCGACATACCACTACTGGCTCAGCCGAACTGGTAGGAACCTACCTCTAATTAGTTTAGATGAGCCTCTGTCTCCGCTGCCCATTTGCCATGAACGAGTGGCAGCGTTAGGTGGCAGCGGTGATCCCCGTGGCCTGGAACAGCTGATTGGCGCTGCACCAACCCCCCCACCTCCCACCACAATATTCGTTCTAAGACGCACAGACATTTCCGCCCACTTTTGGAGGGGGGGGGGGGAAGTGCATCTTATAGTCCGAAAAATACGGTAATCAGCTTTGTCAAATTACCTCCACCATTCTAATATGCACATGCACAGATGCATGTGTGTACGTGCACAAACATATACACAAATAAACGCACCATATTTTTCGGAGTATAAGACTCACCAAGATTTTGAAGAGGCAAATTAAAAAAAAAAGTTTTTGCACCTCCCAAAAATGGCCCGTTTTTCATCAAAAAAAAGGGGCATGTATAGCCTTTAGGAGGCTTATAGAGTGCTCCTGGGGGCTGGGCAAAAACAAGCAAATAACTGCCCATTTTTGCCCTCCCCAGCCCCTGGGAGCACTCTGAGAGAGCCTCCTAAGGGCTATGCATGGCCATTTTTGCAAAGCGGACGGGGTTTGGGGGGGGGGATGCTGTATTCAGTGTATAAGATGCACCCAAAGTTTCACCCTCTTTTTAGAGGGAAAAAGGTGTGTCTTATACTCCGAAAATACGGTACCTACTTTGCATCCACAAAAACTATTATTTCTCAACCAACAATTCCTTCGTAACATGATCCTGACTCTTATCTCACAAATCCCAGATGAACCTATACATTTCCAGAGTAGATAAGTGTATCTGACCTATTCCTCCAATGAATAGGTCGTTTCAAGTTAAACACTTATTTATTGATTGCACAAGACATCAAATTCAGCATGAATCACTTATACCTAGCACTGTATTCTGGAATACATTTACAGTTGCAATGAATGCCTGTTAAATTCTAAACTAATTCTCAAAATCCAACATCTCTGTTCAATGGCAAACATACCCCTTTGTCAAACAAAAGCATCTTAATATTTGTTATTTAATGTTAAGCAACACACCGAAGTTTAGAAAGTCATGCCCAGCATATCTATCATAGTATGTCATTTTTCAAAACAGGATTCAAGCAGAACTGCTGCTCTGACAATGAAAGTTTGACCCTTAAAATATTCCATTTTAGTCGCTATAGCTACACAAGAAGATTTCCCCCAATCTGGTATCCTCCAGAAGTTGGATAGGATACATAGGTATTACAATCCAAACCATCTGAACAAAAACATGCTGGGGAGGCTGATCTAGGTAATCTTCTAATTGTCATAGCTCATTATTTTTACCAACACTTTACAGACTTTAAATAAGGTAGTTAAGTATTTTGTTTACATTAAAATTGAGTCCCCCTCAAACTATTAAACAATTGAGCATGCAGAGGTAGCAGAAATCACATGAGCGTAAAACATGCTTCTATAATTCTAAAAATATTCTAATATTGCATATGGACTAGTTCATTGGATTTCAGCCAGATTTATTTACAAATCACCATATATTAATAAAAATGTATATATATAAATAATGAAATGTCCCCTCCAAAAGTAATATGCCAATATAAAAAAAAAGCATGATGTTCATAGTTTAAGTAATAAAAGAAAATTTTAAACAATTTTAAAGACACTAAATCATTGATTTAATCTTATTTAAAGAAAACACTACTACTCACCACCAGCTCCCTGAATCATGGTGCCTGATTTCTGGACTTCATCAAATTTTGTAAAAATGATGTTCAGCCTGGTTTGAAAAAAAAAGAAAAATAATGAATTTGGCAGTGCTTAAATGACATCCAAATAAGGCACATTTGTGCCTCTAATTTTAAGTCCTTTTTTCCTTTTTTTAATTAAATGTAAATGTTAAATAAAAACAAAGAGACTACATTTTTTAAAGAATATGTAATTTCAAACTTGTACATAAATTGAACTGTATTCCTAACCCTAACCCTAACCCTGAGAAAATTTAGTCCATTCTTCAATCTTAGTTTAATTTACTGAAACAAAACACACAGCTAGTTCTCAACTTATGGATGATTGTTTAGTGATGGACAATGAAACCCCAAAAAAGCTATTTAGGATACAAAACTCCAATATCTGAGAACCCCTCTGTTGTCACATGACCACATTTTGGGCTCACATTCACAGCAGCAATTTATGACATTTTTGTGGAAATTGGTATTTACTTTTGATTAGCAACAGAAAATATCCTACAGTGAACAATGACTGCTATTTTTGCTTAAAGATGCCACAATAAGTTTATAAAATTGAGTCTAGTCGAGTGGTGACCTCCTTTAAATCATCACAACTTATGACCAAAATTGTGGACTCAATTGTACATTGAAGACTACCTATATACATCATTTTCCAGAAACATACACAAATAAATACTTCAGGATGTTGCATTTTAATCTCATTAATTTCAAGATAGTATCGTAACTGAGAGTTGCCTACAATAATCTGATCTTTTTTAAAAAACACAATTGGACTTCAAAAGCTAACAAATGAACAAAAACTCAGAAAGAGAAGCTTTTCACTCACCGAGACTGTGGCAATCCCTTTTTGCTGAGATCAGCTCTTACACGTTCACCTACATGTCTGTAGATTTCTACAAGGCTATTTATTGCTGCATCACGAACCTAATCATTAAAGAATAACAAAAGAACATATGTTTATATGTTTCAGTTTATGATCAATTTATGATTAAAAATCATAATTGTTAATTTTAAGACATTAGCTTTAGAAATCACAATAGGTTCATCTTTATTTAGTTTCCTTGAAATGATCATAGTTAGCGTAAATCAGTATTCCCAATGACATCCAGGCAGCAAATCATAATTAAACAAAAGCACAAATTTTCAAAATTCTTCTGAAGGAACCCAAGATTCTTAAAAGCTTAATGTAATTCATGCTAATAGCCTATCTTGCTATATTATAGCTTATTGGAAAATAATATCTATACAGGTACAGTAGTTCATGACTAATGAGAGTCACTTATATCGCTGTTCGAAATTACAATAGACCTAGATTTGAAGTTCTGACAGTTGAACCCCATCTGTTGTCACATGACAAAACTTTGTGGGCCAGGCAAAATGCTGCATTTCTCTCTGTTTGCAGCATTCCGTACTCATGTGGTCATGTTTTATGGTAGTTTTACTGAAAATGGCATTTATTTCTGGTTTTCAGAAAAAGCATACCCATAGCAAACAACTGTATTGTTTGCTTAAGCAATAGATACAGCTACTATGTTCACTTAATAACCACTGCAAAAAAAGTCATAAAATCAGGTTGGTCATATAATCAGCCTACTTTATGACCATTATAACTTATGACCATGATAGACAGACTCCATTACAGTTTAAGTTGAGGACCACAAAGCCCAGAATATTTTGTAAGAAATTCTACTTGTAAGGCATAAATATACCACAATTCTTGCACTTTTAGCGATAATGTAGAGTTATGTTTCCTTCTGAATAAACCATTTCAAGCACATCATGGTGCATATTCGAAGTATGTAATGATACAGGTCCCACACACATCAGGGGCATGCATTTTCTATAAGAGTTGTGATGATAGAAATAGCACTTAATTGAGAGATCCTTGGGAGAGGATCAAGGACCTCTCATTTCAACCCAAGCGATAAATACTTTTCTTTATTGCTAGCACTTAATTATTTATACTAAAGTATAAATACTAAAGTATAAAGTATCAAAGTAAATTTTATAGAACTATTTCTGTATCTATCTATTGATCTCAGCACTTATGGATAGTTTACACAAAGATCCACTTTTCATATTACCTTAAACTGATACTTAAAATTACTTCTACAAGCAGAACCAAATTCCTATACAGGTAGTCCTCGACTTATAATAGTTCATTTAGTGACCGTTCAACGTTACAATGGCATTAAAAAAAGTGACAACCTTTGTAGCATCCCCAATGATCATGTGATTAAAATTCAGATGCTTAGCAATTGACCATTGCTGTGTCCTACGGTCATGTGATCACCTTTTGCAACCTTTTGACAAGCAAAGTCAATGGGGAGGCCAGATTCACTTAACAACCGGATTTCTAATTTATCAACTGCAGTGATTCACTTAACAACTGTGGCAAGAAAGGTTGTAAAATGGGGCAAAACTCACTTAACAAATGTCTCACTTAACAACAGAAATGTTGGGTTCAATTCTGGTCATAAGTCAAGGACTACCTGTAGTCCCCTCTCCTCCCCCACTTCTTTCTTCCTCTTGGTAGTAAGGTTCTTCTTGACTTCAACCTTACATAAAAGCAGGTTTATTTATACAACTGAACTAGAAACAATATTTTAAAACCATTTGCAACCAATTTTAAACAAGTTAATTATAAACCTGGATAAGTCTGCATAATTAGGCAGCCAAGGTTTGCTTTGAATTCCAGTCTCAAGCATAGCAAACAGGTTGTAAACTGTGTACATATTTTGCATAGAATTAAACTGGAAATAAAAAGGGAGGGGAATGGTCATGACTTGAATTTTTACTGGAATTTATTTCTGCATGTACATTTCCTGCTTACCTGAGAACCAGGTTATAGTGGTTCTTCCCACACCATTTCCCTACATCATCTATCCTGTCTACAAGGGCACTGTTCAGAAAGCACATCATGGTTTGATGCTGTGGTGAAACAATACAAAGCTAACAACTGCACTTCTTAGAGAAAACAACAATTGCTGAAACAAGCTAATTAGCTTCAGACACCACGGCCAGTTATCCAATTAAAGAAACTTTCACTGAGTAATTGATGTGTTTGTATGCTTCAATATGTCTTGGTAGGAAAATAAATTAAATCCTTGTTTTTCAATAATATTCATTCATAAAGGTCATTATTTTAACCAAGTATTAAGTCAATCACAACTGGATGAGTTCACACAACACAGAAAATCACAATCTACTATTTAGCCATCCATCCATGGATTATTTTACCTTCCACTTAAATGAGTAGGCAAAGCAGGTAACAATATTTAAAACAGAAAGTACAGAAAGTTCCAAAATGAAAGTTAGTCTGATAGTGGTAGAATATAAGTGGAAAGAATGAATGAGTGAACAAGTAGGTGAGTGAGTGATTGGTGAAAAAGATAGCCTTTTACAATTTTCTAAATCTAATGATAATAGCCACCAAATGCAACTCCTAAAATAGTTCATTCCATAGCAGAAGGACTTCTCCATTGTGGTAGATAAACTAATCTATGACTGGAAGTATCTGGCAAAGCATCTTCTTTCACAACTTAATGTGAAAGCAAAAAATTACGGAGACAATTTCTAAAGTCTTTGAGAAATAATATCAGAGCAGATTAACAGACAAGCTGGAACTACCTAACATCACAATCCATGGAAGTGTCTGTAGTAATAAATATATGGCACATATAAGGTGCCACAAGACATTTTGCAATGTGTTGCTGCAGAAAACTCATCTGGCTAACTCTATGGTAATTTCTATATGCATATAATTAACTATCCAACTTTCAGTACAGCTCTAGCACAATCGCACATTTCAACCCTTGCAGCCTTATACCCTGATTTGCTAACCATAGATAACAACAACAAAATGCAGAGATTAGTACATTAATAAAAAAGGGACCTCATTTTCCCTTAGCATTAACATGGAATCAAAGTATATTCTTAGAGAAGGAAAATGTCCTCTTTCAAAAATCAGCATACCACTGCAGCAGATTGTTATTAGAGGAATCAACCTCCATTTCTCTTGTATGTGCAGATTGCTAAGTTTTGTCAATATATTTACAGTACACCTGCAAGATAAATGAAACCATGTTTCTTGCCACCATGCTTAAAGGAAGAAGCTGTTAAACAATCTTTTAAAATTTCATACTAAAAAGAAAATCTGACTTTTCAAAATTTTACAGACAGTTTGGGATTTCCTACTTTTTGTAGATATAAGATAAATCAGTATTACTTGGGTTTTTTTTAAATAGAGGGAATGAGAATTGAGTGAAAGTAAACCAAGGCCAAAGCAAAATAATTTCTCATGCTGAACAGCAATAGGCTTGGCTTTTGATTTTATCTTGATATGATGTGTGAACCCAGCCATAGTGGTATATTAACTAAACTATAGCTGTTAAGTGTGAAGGAGGCCAATATATTCAGCCAATGGTTAAAAACAATTTGATGTTATTATTAGATCAATTTAATGTACTATCCACCTTATTTAATGTTTTTAGCTGGTTTTATATTTTTTCCTACTTTTGTATGCTTCTCAGATTCCATTGGAGTTAGGCTTCCAATACATTTAAATAAATAAGATAAATAAAATCAAAAGAAGTGAACTATTCATAGGAGCAATCTCAGTCACATACACTGCATCAGATTAGGCATCCACTTCAGACTTAAGGCGTGAGTCTAAAGCATCTCACTCTTTAAAAAAAACTTTTAAAAGGGTACAATAGTTTGCTTAAGTTTAACTTTTGAATTTTGCACCACAAGGATCTCTAATATACTAAAAGGTCATAGAGGTGAGATGGGTGTAGAAATTTGATGGATGGATGGATGGATGGACGGACAAATAGATATAGATAGGAGGGTTATAATGAAAATATAATTTGAATGGCCTTATAAACGATGTCATAATAGGTCAATGTGGCTACCTCTCTTTGATCAACATCAAATACTGATTCTGAAGGGAAGTTCCAGTTTAAAAAGAAGTTAAAATTCAAAATTGATCTAGGGACAACACACATACACATCCAAACATTAACAATAGCATTTCTAGAAAATACTTCCCTCTTCTGTTTTTTTCTCTCACAGAGCTGCAAACTTTTCTAATTAATCCACCATTCTTCTTTCCCACAAATCATACTCATCCTGCCAGCCATCTTCACTAGGCCTCTATCCTCATTCCAAACGGTCCTTCCACGCTGTTCTTCCACCTTTCTGGCCTATCATGGCTGAAAGCTCTCTTTGTCTCCATGGTAACCACAGGTAAGCCACTGTGTTGCAAGACTAGAGGGAAGTAAGACTTTGCCAACAGACTGCCCAATGTCTTAACATCTTGAGGAAAAGAATGATCACGGGAGGGCCAAACATACATATTAAAGGATATTTTTGTGCATTCTCCCACCAAATTATTTACCTATACATGTATATATTTTTTGAACTGTCACTGTTAGGCTATACAACTGCTGATAGTCAACTGCATAGTTCTGAAACTTGGACTTCGACTACTGGCCTTACGTATTTCACCCATGTCCTGGGACAGGAAGAATCAACTTCAGGATCCCTAGGCAATTTCAATACCTCACAAGTAGTGCATCTCATACCCCAAAAGAAATGAATAAAAAGGTAGACAAATAGGCAGTCATTTTTCTGTGTGTATAGGTGAAAAGAATGTGTTTAAGAGGACCACTGAAGAATAGGGCCATGCTATTGGCGCTATCTCCACAGACCCAAGTATTAGTGAAGAATTACCCATGAAAGATGGTTATCTGCATTTAGAAGATTAGCACTACAGAACAGATCGAAGGAGAAAACTAAAATGTACGTTTTTTGTCCCAATCACTAGCATTTCCTTTGAACAACCCAGCAATTCATTTGCCTTACAGCAAGAACATGAGGCACCTAATTTATTCCCTCTCCTGCAGGAAAATTGGAGGAAA